CCCTGCATATAATATTAACCATATAGTGTCTTAACCACAGAAACAATAGAAAAATGGGAAGAGAGTGGACAGGTTGTCTCTCCATTCAGACGATTGATGGCTATCGTTTAAAGTGATCTAAAACCAGGGTGGTGTTTAATCAGACTGGTTGTTAGCAATGATGTGTATAGATGTTAGAAAATGCCCTTACATAGTGCCATTTGCCATCTTACACTTGTGCTGAGAGATGCTGTTAACAGGAAGCTTTGAAATAGTTTTCTGACTTGGCCAAGAATGATGAGAGCTGAAAGAACAGAGGTCGTGCTGGCTGCCCTTATATGCTGTAAGCAGAAACTGTAATGGTATTATTTTAAACCCTGACAACACACAAGACATGCCATTCAACCTTTGGAAATCCCTTTTCCTCTTTGCTTGATTTTTGTGCTTGAGATAGTGTAGACTCAGATACTGCTTTCAGAGCCATATTACAGAAACGTCCTTAAGTTCAGTAAGAACTTTTGTCTAAAATGAGATCCTAAATTGAATCATCATGGTGAACAGATAAGATTCTAGATACAGAAAGTTTGTGCAATACAGGCCTGGGAGTTCACATTTAAAAGATCTTCCTCACTTTAGTCCATATCAGGACAAATGCTTCAAATTTAGAACTCTGAACACTTCAAAAATGTACACTTACACCGTACTTGACCTTATCAGTTAGATTGACCTTTCAGTCAGTCACAGGATTTATAGTCCAGTGTCTATGAATAATACCTATTTTAATACTTAATTAATGAAGCTCATGATAATATGTATCTGTTTTTCCTCTGTCATTCGAAAGAGTCTCCTTTATGTTTAGCATAATTTCTCTGTCCTTCTGTATCTTATTGTGCTATTTACGTTACAGGTCCTCCCCCCAAAGCTCAAAGATGGGTGTTTTAGTGTCATTGCCAGCAGCCTGCAGTTTAGTCATCACAGTGAGTTCATCTGTATGTGTGTGTGTGTGTGTGAATGTGTCTGCTGAGAATTGTTGATGGGTGTCTTATCGCATCTGTTGATTATTCCCGCTGATAGCAGATGTGTTGCAATGAGTGCAAATGAGACATCCTTCTCCTAATGTTCCTCCTTGTAGCACTGACTTTTAGTTGTCAAGTCTGTACACCCACACACACATTTATCTAAAACGGGGACATACTGTACCATAGTGTAGTCTTCTGTTGTTTTCATGTAATGCTAATTATAACTACATCGTTTTCCCAAATGAGGATTTCACCCCTTGCAACTACAAAACTAAACGATCCCAAAAACAGAAATGCCTTCAAATTCTTCAAATTATATTAGAAAGAGAGTCAAACAGATATGGAATGACATGAGGGTGAGCAAATAATGACAGAATTTTCATTTTTGTTTGAACTATCCCTTTAAAAACATTATTTTGAGAAACATCAGGATAAATTTTGGGATTGTTTGCTGAAGTGGATGGAAATATTACTTTCTATCCAAATCGTAAAACTCTCATGCCTTCTCAGATCATTAAGATGCTGTCGATGCATTATTTAAGGCGGTAATACAGAATCAACATCTGTTCATGAAGCAGACGATGCAAACAGACTGAATTGGCATTCAGAGATGCGGATCCTTCTGAAGGTCTCTTTTGTGAGAGCTACTTACAGACTTGTAAACCAAAGACTATAAACAATTTGGCAATCTGATCACATTCTGCATTCGTGTTAGGAAGCATAACTGTGCCTATTTGAAATGTAAATGTAGCTCTCGTAGTGCATTTTGCTAAAGCCCTGTGCTGTGTGTGTGTGAGTGTGTGTGTGTAAATGTGTGAGTTTATTTGTTATTATAGCTTAATGATGTCCCTTTAAAGCCATGTCACATCCAGCTCTTTCTTTGTAAGATTAGGGGTGGATTAATTTGAATACACTGTTCCTTATAATACAGTTCAATTTTAAACACACTTTACATTCCCCTCAGTTTAAAACCCTGTGTTCAATCACAGAAGACGGCTATTTGCATATTGAAACACTTTATGAATTATTCATAACTTGTTAGAGGTCATCAAAACAAACTAATAATGACATGGGCCTTCTGATTATGAAATAAAGTACACAATCGCTGTGTAATCATCATCAGAGTAAAATAGGTGCCCGGTTTAAAAGGGGGCGAGGCTAAGCATGCCAAGGGGAAAGGGACATCTAATTAGATTGGACAGGCAATTGACATCATAGGTTGTAATGAATGCAGTTTCTGTGGTGATGCAGAGAAGATTATCTTTATAACTGTCAAAATGTTCAGATATTTTCATAAAAAGATTGTCAATGTTTTTTGATTGGTGCAGAGATTTATTACTGTCAAAATGTTCTGATATTTTCATAAAAACTGTGTCAATATTTTTTGATTAGGGAGAAATAGAGATGTGAATTATAATATAATTTAAGTTTTAAAAAATAATTTCTATAGAGTTGTGATGCTATAGCGATAAATAATAATTGTAAATATCAATTTAGCATAACTCTTTAAACATTTGAAAATGAAAATGTGTGTTTGAGAGTGTGTACTGTACTGTACAGTTTTCTTTACATTTGTTTTTTATTTTATTTTGTATTTAATTTTTAAATATTTAAAAAATGTATTTATTGCACATAGTAACTAAATTAACCTGATAACCCGCACGAGGACGCTAGCGCACGCTTTTTTATTAATTTTTAAACTTTACATTTTCATTAAACACATCAATTAAAATAGGTAAGAGAGGTATGACTAAATAAAAAAATAATGACGTTTTTTTTTTTTTAATTGTGATCGTGCAATGGTGTGCGCTAAATTGCAATGCTGCATCTATAATTAGAGGGGTTTATAGCTTCTTGCATGAAACCCAAGTCAGCAAAGGAGTACCTTGCTTTAGTAATGCTTTTGTAAACTTTGGCCCCTCCTTAGCGAACTAGCCAAACATTCATCAGTGGGAGGGTCTTAACAAAGCTTACAAATGTCAATCTCATACCCACTTAATGCGGAATACTAAACTCTCTCTCTCTCTCTATTATTGTCATGAATAAAAGGGAGCAGAGTGATTGAGAAACCATTGAAGTCATTGATGTCAGTGTGTGGTTTATGGAGTGTTTTGTGTGTGTAGCAAGCAGGTGATTGGTCAGTGCCTCATACGTACATGAGATACCTTATAAGGGTCTCTTCAGCCTCTCCCAGGGCCTGATAAGGAAATGCATGCAACGCTTATCTCCATCGTTACAGTATGAAAGGGTAGAGAATCAAAGGGATCTCCAAACCTCAGTGAAGGCCTAGTGTTTGTCTTCATCAGCGTGGTTGTCATGGGTTCTCAGTGACTTTATTTACATATACTGTGACTAACTTTTTATTTTAAATCTGTTCACTGATCAGGCCATAATACCGTATTTTATAATGATATCTAATCTAAACTGTGAATAGTTACCCTAAATTTACATAGATGCATTGGCTTTTTATTGATGATTGTATGCTTTACAACTGAATCCAAGTTAAACATTTTTAATTTGGATGAACTGGATGAATATGGTATTAATTTGATTTTGCAATAAGTAATTAGTTGGACATGCTGTCCGGCATGTACAGTTCTTCTCAGCAGCTGGTTTGATTAAGTGGTGTTAAAATTTTCCCCAAAATAATCTAATTTCATCTCATGGACAGAGACAAACTGGCCTCTACCAGACATTCATTGCAGATTGCAAAGAGTAAACTTGGCCTTCATTAAACAGGGGCAGGTGTCTAAATCACTTGCTAGCAACACACTCTTAAACTGCAGTGGCAAGACTGACGGTTGAGCCATTGTGACCTCTACTTTCTGACCCTCTTTATCTTACATCAGACATACGAAAGCAAACACTGAGATAGATAGCTGGCAAACCTTTATAATGATCAGTTTTCAGATTAAAAGTCTAGTTAAAAATCTAATTGCAATTGCACAAATGATTGTTTTCTGTAGTGGTGGATTCATGTTTATTTCAAACTGTCTTAAATGAGAAATACCTCAATTATATCCTGCAAACTAACATTTGCATATCATATTTATAGTTATAGCTTTTGTGTGACAATTTAACATAACAAAGCCACACCGAGATACATTCAGACAAGAGTATGTTTATAAATACATTTTATACACATAATATTTTTACAGATTTCCTGTTTAATGTTGCTTAAATCAATACACATTTATTTGTATAGTTTTTCACAATGCAAATCGTTTCAAAGCAGCTTTACAGAAAATGCATTTTTCAGAAGTTCAATAATATGCTGTTTAATATTTAACAGCAGGTTCCACTGTGACAACTTACCCCATACAGTGTCACACTATTGGAGTGCATAGTCACAAATTAACATGTTTTCAATTAGCCTATTCTTTTTGCATTAATACATTCTGACCAATGAATTTCCATGACTTTTACATTCATTCAGATCACCAGGTAAGGATTTAAAATAATAATGATGCTAATATATGTTTTTTAATAATATAGATTTCAACCCAATTAAATATTTTGGAGCTGAATATAGCAAGAAACATATTGTCTCAAGAAATTTCTCACTCCTTGAAATGTGCAGATTTTCAATGACCGTGAGAGCCCTGTTTCTTCCTAGAGAACAACCATGGATATCTTTTTGTAGCCAAAAATGTGAGATATGTGCCTATGGAGAAATTAACCTTAAAAATAGTCATAATCTGAAAAAATATTTCCCCTATCAAATCTATTTTACAGCGTGCAGGCTAGCCTAAAGAAGTGATGCATACATATTATGATTGTTATGTGTTAGCTGATGCGCTTTCCATCCTGCATCCCTGCGGCTCCACTCAGGTGCAGAGTCCCGCCCCTCATTTCTGCAATGTGACGCTAGGCTCACTCAGCGCTCCACAGTCTTGCCTGGTCACCGGGAAAAGCGTTTGGAAGGCGGCTTCAGTAGTCATCCAGTCTGGAGTGCGCATGCGCGGCGCTGCAGCGGTGTTTCCGCGTTGAGTGGAGAGGAGAAGGGATCGAGCGAGAGCGAGAGAGAGAGGGAGAGAGAGGGAGAGAGAGGATAGAGGGAATTTGAGACGCAGCGGGACGCCGAGTCAGAATAAACGGACACCCCACAAACGCTAATAAAAAGCAAAAAATAACAACGTTCACAACCCAAGCTTTTAGCCATGGAGGACACGGTGAAAAACACTTAAAATGTGAGGTTTAAAGAGACGTGCTGCAGAAACGAGCGAGAGCGGCTTTCCCTCTCATCATCCACGGCTGATCTCGACTCGGTGCTCCCGTCCCCCTCCGTCTCTCGCACCGGGGGGAAAATGAAGAAGTTTAATATTCGTAAGGTGCTGGACGGCTTGACGGCCGTGTCGTCCCCTTCTCCATCCCCGCAGCTCGGGGCCAAGGAGAACGAGCTCATCCCGGAGACGCTCCAGTCTGAACACTTCCAGCTCTGCAAGGTGGGGAAGCTTTCAAGTGAACGTGTAACATCAGCCGATGTGTGTGTTTTTTTTCTTTAATAAACCTCGCGCAAGTGCTACTTAGTGCATGCTGTGATTTCACTTTATCCACAGATTTACTAGAATAGCTATATACTAGAATATAGATAACGCGTGTCTTTTCTGTTTAGATGTGATGCATCATATAATGTTGTAATGAAAAAACTAATTTTAACCTGTATGGAAGCGTTATGATGTCATTCGTATGTTTTATTGCAAATAACAGTGTCCAGTATCTTTTGATTGCACACCGCTGGAATGCGTTTTCACATTAAAACGCTGGTATATGTTAGCCTGTATACACACTGTACTGTCATACTCTGCCCCCTCAAACCCAGACTAAATTATTTTTTTCACAAGCTGTGCGTGGAAAGGGCTGACTCTGTGTTTGGAAAATGCGCACAAATGCGTAAAATATTCATGCGTGACACTGAGATTCGTTTTGAACCCACACGGTTACTTTTGCTGTCCATATCTTCCGTTTTAGTGTCCAGTGTTAAACATGCTACTTTATTGAAGCGTCTGTATCATGTGTGGTTATAGAATGAAGCTGTGATGCTTGAGTGGAGGGAGGGGGATAAACAACCCGTTTCTTGCATAATCTACAGTGCTGGGATTAACGTGTAATTTTGGTATTTTCTTGTAAACCCACAACCATTCTTGACTCTTTTTGGACGCACGCACACACACGCTGAAGCCTAACAGTATGTGTATCGAAGGATAATTTTGGGCCATCATAGGTGCCCAAATGTTGTCTAGGTAGGCAGATCACTAGGTTGTTGTCTAGCCTAGATTTTGAGACTGCGAGTGTGCAATGTGTTTTGAATAGGCCAAATTTGAAGTATTGATTTGGTTTAGCTGCCCTCTCTGGATTAGATCTGGTACAATGGATGGAGTTAATAGTTCTCGGTGAGAAACGGGTTATCTGTAGAGGCTAATCTCTTCTCATCTATCTCGCTCCTCACAAAACCACGTCCAAATGAATGCCATATTAGATTACAAACCCACACACATGTGTGCGGAAACTGTAGGAGAATGACAGCACTGCAGCTGGGGTTTTAATTAATTTTAAAGATTCGAATCAGTTCGCTCAGTCAACATTGCTACAGGTTACTTTGTTAGTACAGTAGGTGGCGACAAGTTCCCTTTGTGTTATGCGTGAGTCATTGAATCATTTACTTGACTTGATATTTAGCCGATTCGTTCACAAATCTTATTACGCTATATTGAAGTTTGTGTCTAGAGATCTGCTGAGTCACAACAAAAATCCCAAATGATTTAATAATTGTCTTTTTAGCCTCCATATTTGTCGACTGCTGGGCATTATTTTATCAGTTAGGTTAAAAAAGTAATCTGAATAGATTTATAATACATTTTCAGCATACAACCAAGAATGGCAAGCCAATTCAGTTCGTTCATAAATGTGAGGCCTCCTTCAGTCCGAACAGCGACTTCTTTATTGAAGGGGGCGTATTCGTTTAGTAGGCCCAACCAATAAACGGCTTCTTCACAGCCCGCGCTCGAATGCTATTTGCTCGCGCTGCTGTCAGTCTTTGAAGGCAGAAAAAAGTAATTATAGTAACAGCATTATAGGTGCGTCTTGATACTCAGAAGTGCTATCAGTGTAGGCCTAAACCCTCTAGGTTTTCAAACACAGACAGAGTGTGACGATGACAGCTGTTAAGCAGAGGCCAGTGCTGTAAACCTGCGTAGTCAACCATTGTTGTTCTCTGGATACAATGCAGCAAGGTCCAAGTAGGGCTCGCTGCAGAGCCTGCGGTGGACATCCAACCCCGCCCACATCCACGTGTGACGTTGAAAGTCACGCCCATCCCCGATACAACCCCGCCCACGTCCGAGTGTGCTGTCGGAAGCAACGCCCATATCAAATACCTCACCTTGTGATTTCCCCATCCCCCTACCGGGGAAACCCAGAAGTATGTCGAAGCAATTTATGGAGGTTTAGAGGATCTAAATCAAATAATGTTGTCCTTCGTTTTACTAATACACGTTTTCTTATTTTTTGTAAAGGATGTCTAGGCTAAAATGCCACAACTTAAATCTAATATTTAATAGGTCTAATATACGGAGCTGATTTCGTCATCACAACAGCCTGTAAAACGCTTGCATTGATTAAAGTAGGCTAATTGTTAATTAAAACTTTTAAACCTTACCTTGTTCATTTATGTAATGATATAAATTCACATTTATTACGATCGATTTTGACCTACCCAAGGTAAAATGTATCAAATTTAAAGGGGACAATTAGATTTTGGTATTGTAAAAGTATGTAAAATTATTGTAAAAGTTGGTATTGTATAATTGTTATTTAATTTTCTAAAGATGTGTTCCACTTATCATAAAGTGTTAACATTTGAATGACAGAATCAACAGTTCTCCATATGCAGTAGGCAACACACATGCTGAATAAAGATTGCTTGCATTGATAGATTATATAACTAACATGGCATTGACCTTCAGACCTTGTTCATCACAACTTGATATGAAACGTGTCCAGGTCCTCCACATACTTAAAGATGAATAAAAAAGACATCCATTGTTTCATTGGGTATTTATTTATTATTTTACAAAAATAAAATATACATTACCAGTCAAAAGTCTTTAGAACAGAAAGATTTTTAATGTTTTTCAAAGAAGTCTCTTCTGCTCACCAAGCCTGCATTTATTTGATCCAAAATACAGCAAAAACAGTAATATTGTGAAATATTTTTTATTATTTAAAATAACTGCTTTCTATTTCAATATATTTTAAAATGTAATTGATTTTTGTGATCAACCTCCAGTCTTCAGTGTCACATGATCCTTCAGAAATCATTCTGATATGCTGATTTGCTGCTCAAGAAACATTACTGATTATTATTATTATCATCAATATTTAAAGCAGTTGAGTGCAATTTTTCAGGATTCTTTGATGAATAGAAAGATCCAAAGATCAGCATTTATTAGGGTATAGAAATGAATACTTTTATTTAGCAAGGATGCTTTAAATTGATCAAAAGTGATGATAAAGACATTTATAATTTTACAAAAGATTTCTATTTCAGATAAATGCTGTTCTTCTGAACTTTCTATTCATCAAAGAATCCTGAAAAATTGCACTCAACTGCTTTAAATATTGATGATAATAATAATAATCAGTAATGTTTCTTGAGCAGCAAATCAGCATATCAGAATGATTTCTGAAGGATCATGTGACTGGAGTAATTCACCTTTGATATCACAGGAATAAATTACATGTTAATAGAAATATAGAAAACTGTTTCAAATAGAAAACTTACTTAAAACTTAAAAATATTTTAAAATTGTACTTCATCAAAGAAACCTGAAAAAAAATCTACTCAGCTGTTTTCAACATAATAATAATAATAATAATAATAATAATAATAATAATAAATGCTTTTTGAGCAGCAAATCAGAAAATTAGAATGATTTCTGAAGGATCATGTGACTGGAGTAATTCACCTTTGATATCACAGGAATAAATTACATGTTAATAGAAATATAGAAAACTGTTTCAAATAGAAAACTTACTTAAAACTTAAAAATATTTTAAAATTGTACTGTTTTTGCTGTACTTTGGATCAAATAAATGCAGGCTTGGTGAGAAGAAGAGATTTCTTTAAAACCTTAAAACATTAAAAATCTTACTGTTCAAAAACTTTTGACTGGTAGTGTTTAACAAAAGATATGTTCCAACTATTATAAAGTCTGAGCAGCTGAATGAACAGTTGAATGATCAGAAAAACAGTTCTTGACATGCAGTACACACACATACATACATAAATGCACACATAGACTACACAGAGAGATTCCTTGCTCTGATAGATTATTCACAGAACATGACATGGACCTTTAGGGCTTGTTCATCAAAACAATTTGATATGATGATATGTCCAGCTCCTCCAGATACTCAAAGAATAAAAAGACATCTCTTGCTTCATCTGATTTAGATATATTTTTTTACTTACCGACACGGCAAACAACAACTTTTTTTAGCGGTTGGCAAACAATACGAATTATCTTCTTATCGATGCTTCTTCTTGTTTCAAAATGAATGAGAATGTGACGTATTTTGACATGGGGAGTGGTTTGTGACGTCACACTTGGATGTGGGCCAGGTTGGATGTCCACCGCAGGCTGCAGCGAGACACTCCTCGCAAGGTCTGTGTTCTCACTGCCTGTTGTTTTTGTCTATCTATAGCACATCAGGATTGTTTGAGCAATTCAAAGGGCTGGGTATTTAAATAGTTGGATTGGATATATTCAGTTGAAATTGATATTGAATTGATATTGAATTGTCCCTGAGGGGAAGTTTGACTCCATTGTGCTGCACATATACACATGCTTTGCCACTATACTTCAAATCAAGACCGTAAATACTACAGTGTACAACCAGTATTATTTTAGTAATATTTATTCTATTTTGAATTCACTATTATTTTTATATTTTCAATTTTCATATTTTAGTTTGAGTAATTTTTACGTGCTTTTGTTATTATTTTTTTATTTAGCTTAAATGTATTTTTATTTCAGTTTTAGTAACTCAATTTAATGAAAATTAAAATGTTGCATTGGCAACCAACTGAAATAAGTTAATCTAGTATTTTTTATATTAGCTTTGTTTTAATTTGCATTTTTTAAATTGTTTTAAAGTTAACAATAACAACACTGTAAAACATCTGTCACATTAAAAATGATGAAACATTCATCATAAGCAAAAACAGATATAAAAAACGGATAAATAAAAATGTAAACAAATAATTTAAAATAAATAAAATGTAAAATAGTTTCATTGCTGGCTGAAATTTTAAAGTAAATTTCTGTGCTGGTTATGCCCTCAAGCTTTACATTGTGTACTTTTTAAAACATTTTCTTTTCTGATTTGATCCTCAGACTATGCGCCATGGCTTCCCTTATCAGCCCTCCTCTATGGCATTCGACCCCGTCCAGAAAATCCTTGCCATCGGGACTCAGAGTGGGGCTTTACGATTGTATCCTTTTCACAATGGAAATGAAATAATCTCTGCTCTGTTTCAGGTGCAGTGTGAACCTGTCAGTAAGTATTTAGTTTCTTTGTCAGCTCTGTTATTAGGTGTTACTACTGGTGTGTTTAAGGGCATTGTCAAGCTAAAAACAAATTCATTAGGACATGGATGACCCACTGTTAGTTTTGCCTTTCTGAAATGTGACTACATTATGCTGCACCACAACATAACAAGCTTCATCTGCTTTAAAGTTATGCCAGTTGTTGTGCTTAAGTGAGTTGATCCGCTGTCATGGCTTGTCAGTCAGAACTGTCATAAGTTTTTTGTAAAAGGACGTTTATTGTTACTGGATTGGGATTTGGGATCATTAAGACACATCACATTAGTTCAGTGACTCTTTCATCACCCTCATGAATGATCCTAGTACATAAATTCAGATATTAATTATACCGAACAAGTCACTAAGGTCTATTCCCATCTCAGAGATGGCAAAGAACTTCCTGTCTAATCAAAATCTCTATTCACACTCTGTATTCAAATAGATGGCCTTTGATTTTGAAATGAATTTCCACGTTCCCCAATTCATTCATACACACAGAGGCATGGCATTACTTTTCACAGTGAGTGCGGTTCTAATTGAAAATATTTCTTCTGCCGTCACTACGGGATAATTTGCTGTCAGTCAAGTCGGAAGAACAGCTCGCTTGACACTGCCCTTTGTCAGATGTTGAATGATATTGGTGGAAGTTGATACATGCGGCGGCTCTTCAGAGAACAGCCTCTTTAGAAACTGATTGTCTTTGCTCTCTGAGGAGTTGATACTTAGCCTCTTTGAGCGACTGTGATCAGATAAATGTCGGCTGCCGTGAGATGAGGGCAAATGAAAATTTCCCTAAGAGACTCCAAATTGTGATTAGTGCATCGTCCTTTCTTTCTTTCTTTCTTTCTTTCTTTCTTTCTTTCTTCGCATGTCATCCCGAGCTATCGGCAGTGCAAAACGAATCTCAAGCTTCAGCTGAATGGGATGGTATGAATGAAGTCTTACCTTTGATTTTGTGACTAATTTTGGTCTCTGTACCTAAGCTACAAGGCTAGAGTTAGTTGACAAATCTTGGATGGACTAGCAAAACTGTGACTGACTTAGGTTATGCTGGTATTTATGGTCAGATATACATGGTACAAATCTCATAGTATTTTGTAGTATTTGCAATGTTGTCTCATTCATATTTGTAGATATATATTTTTTTAAATGTCTGTGTTTCGATTGACAATGAAACGCAGTTAACAGCTTTTGAAACATGAAGCCTTTTAAATGTTCAAAAGTTCAATATATATATATATATATATATATATATATATATATAAAAGAAATGA